AGGATTTTGTACCATGTGATATGGTGACGCGTGGTGACGTTTTGGAACATTTCTTTGCCGACTTCGCTATCATGCGATGTGTATGAAGTGTGTGGAATGTGAAGCACTGTGTCCATTGAGAAAATGTATACAATGTAACGGTTTTAAAGTAGATGCATCTGACTGGTTGCATTTGAATTGAGGCGCGTAATGAATAATGATACTGTTCTGTGAGGATGTGCTGTTTTCTCTTTTTTTCCCCATCCCATCGAGACCGCTATGTCCGAGACCAAGACAAGACTGAGACCAAATAGAGTCGAGACCAAGACAAGACCAGTCTCGAGAACTACAGCACTACCTGTAAGCCATTCCTCCACACAAGGTCCTCAGACTTGCAGAGTCTAGGGTACAGAAGTCCGTCCCCTCCCCCACAGACTGCAGCTTCCAGCCAAAATCGACCGGGAGGTGGGGCGCCTCTGCAACCTTGGATCAGGTTTAATTTATTTTATATTTATTCCATTATTTATTTATCATATTTTCTATGATAGGCAGAGGGAAAACACACAAAACCTTGTATCTTGAAATGCTGCATCCTCTCCCTGTATAAGAAGCAAATCATAGCATTGATTAATATTCAGGACATTAACAAGCTTAATACTGTTTGGAGGCTTGTCTTATCCGCATGGAAATAGTGTACAGATTTATGGTCTGGACTGAGTGGCAGAATGATCGATCTGTTCTCTGATGCAGATCATTTCACTAAAACCAAAATATTTTTTTCCATTAAATTTAGATATATTCCCCATATATTTTAGCTATAATGCATTTTAGATCAAAGCAAAGCTGTCTATTGATTGGTCAACTGAAATAGAGAAGCTTTAGGTTTACAGGCACAGATGTAATCAATTATTTAGCTGTAGGTCTTCAAAATTTGGCTGTAATGTTGCATTCTGTGGTTGCATGCAGAACATCTTAATTATTTTGAAAGCTCAGACTGAGGCTTATTGATTGTCCCTTGATATACCTTACTGCTGCTTGAAATGTGCAAAAGAAAAAAAATCCATGTGACTGAGGGATAGCCTTGGAATATACACTCACCTAAAGGATTATTAGGAACATCTGTTCAATTTCTCATTAATGCAATTATCTAATCAACCAATCACATGGCAGTTGCTTCAATGCATTTAGGGGTGTGGTCCTGGTCAAGACAATCTCCTGAACTCCA